AAACTACCAGCTGTTCCGTGGGAGAAAGATGAGGCTTTCTGCTCCCGTAAAGATTTACAGCCTCAGAAACCCTGTACAGGGTCGCTATGAGTCAGAACCTACTCCACCGCACATAACAACAACAGAGGGTGATCAGGGACCACTGGACAGGCCAAGGCTGGGGTTCCCCAAAAGGCTTCACTTCAACAGATACTTATTAAAATCGCAATTCTGTTTCATAGGAACGCTGTAAGTCTGAATCAACTAGACTGCAATAGGTGTGATCTTTGTTTTGGTTTTAACCTAACACACTGGGCTCCAGGGACAGATGGTTCCCTGCTCAGATTCTGCTCCTAAGTCGCCAGGATTCCTCTATGGGAAGGCGTGACCACCCCTCCCATCTCAACGCCCCAGGCCGCCTACCTGGGCCTCCCCCAGCCCCAGCTCTATGGCTTCCAGGGAGCGACGCAGGAAGACACAGCGCTCCTGCGATCCAGGCTCGGTCTCTCCGGCCTCATGTGCAACCAGAGGGGCGAGCAAGGCCCTATGCTCCCCGCGCAGGGTCTCCAATCCCTGGATGACGGCCTTGGTGCCCAGCACGATGTCATCCTGGCTCAGCTTCTCCTCCCGCGGAAGCACCATCGTGGCCATGGCCGCTCCACCTGCGAAAGTGAAGGAGCGACAGGCGGGCGCTGGGCCTGCGGTCACACCGCCGTCCGCCCCGGGTTAGGTAAACACCTGCAGTCCCCAGACGCCTGGGTCCCTCGGGCGCCCCAGTCCCCTAGCCCGCAAGCCACACCGTACACGCGCTTGGCCTACAGGGGGCGCGCCCGGCTCATTTCGGTCCTGCAGACGCAATGCGGTGGCGGCCGCTGAGGCCAGACCAGGAGTCGGCCCCGTACCATCAGTTCAGGCGGGTGTGGGCCGTTCTGTCTCGGGACTTCCCTGAAGATTGCTTTCTGCAGGGCAGGGTGCGCCAGGGGATGGTGCTACGGGGGTCGTGAAGGCTCACCCCCGAACGCGAGAGTCCGGCCCCAGCCCTTGGGGCAACCCCTTCCCCAGCAGGTCGGCCAACCCTGCCAAGACCCTCCCCTGGAGGGGACGAGACCAGTGTCCCAGTCCCTCCATGCCGCGCCCACCTCCTCCTCTAGGCCCGGGCCAGCCCCGCGGACCCTCCCCTGGAAAGGCCGCGCCCACGACGTTCCCTCTCGGAACCCCCGCCCTTCTAGGCCTGACACCCCTCCCGGCCCTATGGGCCGCGCCGACCTGCGCCTCACGCTCGGCCCAGCTCCGGCTTCGGCTCCGGCTCTGGCTCCGGCTCCCGTCCTGCTTCACCGGGACCCGCAACCCTGAGCCGGTCCCGCAGCCTCCATCCCGCCGGCCTTCCCAGCAGTCCCCGCGCCGCCTTAAAGGTGAAGCTGCTACCTCGGCGGCGTCGGAGGGGGCGAAACGCGCTCCTCTCGGCCCGCTGGCGGCCTTAAAGGAGCAGTGCCGACCCGGCCAGTCCGGGTGGGGGCGTGGCCACCGAAGCGAAGGGGCGAGGCGGGGCGGGGGCTGTCCCGGGGCCCACCTTCCCAGCGGCTGCTTCCCACGCTCTTGCTGCCGGGATTTCACTGCAGTCAAAGCCCCAGGCCTTCTGCCGCCCGAAGTGTGGAGCGGCTCTGGGATCGTGCCATCGTCATAGCCAGTGTGGTGGCGGGAGAAACTGAGTCCCAGGGAGAGGGCTTGGCCGGGACCCCTCTGAATCTGGAGCGAGGCTGGGACTGAAAAAAGCTACAGTAGTTGCCATTTATGGGCCGCCCACTGTGTGTCGGAAAGGAGCTCGGTAGCGTAGTGGTTACGATTCGGGCTGCGAGCCACAAGGTCAGTAGTTCGAAACTACCAGCTGTTCCGCGGGAGACAGATGAAGCTTTCTGCTCCCGTAAAGATTTACAAATACACGGTCGCTATCCGACTCGATGGCACCGTGTGTCGGGCGCTTCCACTAGCGGCTCCTGGGGAGAAAGATGAGGCTTTCTGCTCCCGTAAAGATTTACAAATACACGGTCGCTATCCGACTCGATGGCACCGTGTGTCGGGCGCTTCCACTAGCGGCTCCTGGGGAGAAAGATGAGGCTTTCTGCTCCTGTAGATGGAGTGGATCTGCTCTGTCCTAAAGGGTTGCTATAAATCAGAATCTATTTGATGGTTGTTGTTGTCAAGTGCCGTCGAGTCGATTCCGACCCATAGCAACCCAGTATAGGGTTTCCAAGGAGCAGCTGGTGAGCTTGAACCGCCGACCTTGCAGTTCAAACGGCTTTGCAGTCTGACGCATTAGCCCACAGAGCCACACATGAATCAGAATCTATTTGATGGTAGTGGGTTTATGTATACTCACAAAGAGCCGCTGAAGTGTGTACTACTCCTACTACGACCACCTGTCGCATAAATATTGCGTACCCTCAGGACCCCATACAACAGAGTAGAACTGCTCCAATCCCCATGAGATAGAGTAGAATTGTCTCTGTATAAAAAGCACTGGACTGTGGACCATTAAGGTCGGTGGTTCATAAGGTCCGGCTCCGCAGGAGCAAGATAATACTTTCTACTCCCGCAAGGATTTACAGTCTTGGAAACTATGTTGGTACGAATCATTGAGTCGATTCCGACTCAGCGACCCTGCATAGAGTTTCCAAGGAGCAGCTGGTCCGTTTGAGCTGCCAACCTTGTGGTTCGCTGTCTAGTGCTTATCCTACAACGCGGAGTCAGAACAGACTAGACGCCGCGTAACAACAATGTTTAAAGGAGCAGACCACCAGAGCTTTCTCTCAGGAGCCGCTGGGTGAGTTTGAACCCTTACGTTTCAGTTAGCAGTGGAGCTCTTCTTAATGGTTCTGCAATAAAAAACTGGTTTCACAAATTTGAGTCCAGGTTTCTTTATCTCCAGGCCTTCTTAATGAGAGCCCACCTCTTTCCTTAGCCCTGGAGGGGATTCAGTGCCTTAGGGCTGTTCCTTAGGTTGGAAGATCTCTGGCCCCAAGGGAGATAGAGGTGGCTAGGGTCAGCCAGCATTAACAAATTCAAGGCCTTGTGAGTGACTCGCCAAGGTGGAACATCTCTGGTCTGTGATGATGTCATTAGGGAAGCCTTCCTAGATTCTCCTCTCCCTCTGCAATCCCCAGAGTAGTCTCTGAAAAGAATTAGTTTGTGGTCTTCTCCTGGAATGCAGGCTAGGACCTGCCTGTCTTGTTCTCTCTTAGATGTGCTCCTGGCTGGCACATAGCTCGGTAATGTTGGTTTAAAAAAAGACAGAGGTGAAAGAAAACATTGTGCGGAGTGAAATAAGAGGGTTTACTGTATGATCCCCCTTATGTGAAATATCAAGGATAGGCAAACGCAGAGGCCAAATGTGGTTATCAAGGGTCTGTGAGATGGAGGAGAAAAGGGGCACTCATCACTTCGGGGACATTCAACTTCTGTTAAAGATGATGGGGAAATTTGGAAATAGATAATGGTAATAACTGAACAGCATTGTAAGACTGGTGTGGGGAAGGCCTTTGACCTCCTCTGACTTTACCAGGGGGAATAAGCCTTGGGCTGATTCCTATGAGGGGAGGTCAGACATGCCTACATCCTCTTTCCTCCTTTACCAAGTTGACACAATCATCCCTCCAGTCATGATTGTGCTTGGTTCAAAAATAAAATAGCCACTCAGAAACTCACAGACAATACTCATGATTCTAGGCTTATTAGGAAAGTTAACAGGTTTTACAATTCAGGATACAAAATGCTCAGGATAGAGTTCTAGTCATGAGTGCCTCTTATCAATTGTGTCCACAGACAGGCATGTGTCTCTCTGGTCCTTAACTTCTCTGGTCCTCAGCCTCTTAGCCAATCAACTCCTTGGCTTCTGCCCTGCTTGGGCAAGTGTTACCAAGCTCTTTAATGCTGCCAATAAATGCCCAAAGCAAACCTAGCTCCTCTGATTGACTACCTGGAGCCAGCCACCTACCTGAAAGTTCTCAGTTTTACTCCGTGGCCTAGGAAGCTCACCACTTTGCTTGTGCTCTTGCTTGGTGCCCTGCCTCTGCTGCCTCCCCTTCTCTGCATAGGGATCTTGAGGTCCAAAGGACATGCTCCATTCCTGGGTCTTCTTTCTTGATGGTCATGAGATGCTCCTTTTCTGTTTCTAAGATGGCTCATTTTATACCCAGCAGGATGGCAAAGCTCCTTGGAAACCCTGTGTGGGTCACTATGGTCAGAACCAACTCAATGGCAAACAACAACCAGGATGGTAAAACTGACCAGTCTCCATGTTAGACTCGCACGTGCTATTGGCATGGTTTCACCTAACCATTGGCATGAGTTGCAAAGACTATGGATAGAAGAGCCATATCAAGTAATTCAACTGGACCACAAACATGATAAACAGAACTAATGAATGTCACTGAATTGTATACATGAAGAATCGTGAAGTGGCAAATGATTGATGGCATAATATTCATCACAATAAAAGAAAATCATATCACCTTGTTTTAGATGGCATCTCGCACAAAGCAAAGTGAGTACATGATTACTGAGTTATTCAAACAAACAAGATGACAGAGGATGCCTTGATGGCATGGACAGGTCCCTCTACAGGCCAGGCTTGGAGGGAACCCTGCCACCTACCTCCCTAACTATTTCTAGGCCAGTGGCACTTGGGGGTGAACATGGGTTGACCACCCTGGGGATGAAACCTGCCCATGAATCTGGGGCATGCCACCAGAGGCAGGGTGGTTCAGACTCAGGACTCACCAGGCTCAGTACCCAGGGTGCAGACATTCCTTTGGCATCATCTCTGAGAAATGGTCTAGCACCGAGTGCATCCTGTGATAGGAAGCTCACTCCATTCTGCTGTGAGACAACTTTACATGTTAGGAAGCTTCTCCTAAGATAGACCCAAAAGTACCTGCCTACAGGGCTCTCTGCTGCCTGCACTCTAGCTTCAGGAAAAACAGTCTGTCCCTCATCTGCCAATGAAAGTATTTGGAGATGGCGATGCTGCCCCACCCAGTGTCTCCTCTGTCTGGGCTGAGGACCCCATCCCCTCACTCATTCCTAAACAGTTGCCTGACCCAACCCTGTCCTAATTTCTTTCTGGGGTAGTTTCACATGTCAATGCAGACGCTTGCTGGGATGTAATGCTCACCCCAGGCGTAGGGATCCAGACCTGGTGTGGTCAAGGTGGGTGAGCATGCCCTGTGTGATTCAGTGAAGCCTTGGGCAAAAAATGGCACCAGCCACAACCAACAACCACAGCGTTCTACTTCTTACCTGGGTTCAAGAATTCATTGCGGTGGTCACGTAGAGCTCAAATACCATACTCACAGTTACTGGGTTTATTAGGGAAGCTAACAGGTTACAATTTAGGGCCAGAAATATTGAGGACACAGTTCTTTCCGTCAAAACAGCTTCTTTCCAGCCAGGACCACAGGTAGGTCTCTCTCTGGTCCTTGGTCCTCTTAGCCTGGACCTCTGATAAATGCCTAAAGAACATTCCACTCCATTATCAGCCTCAGCCTGAAGACACTTGGCTCTAGGTCTGTGGCTGAGCAATAAAGTTCCTGTAGGGAGTGAGGTGGCTCTGTGTGATAAACACTGGACTTTGAACCACAAAGTCAAAGGCGGTTCAAGCCCATCAGACACTCTGCAGGAGAAAGATGAGACTTTCTGCTCCTGCAAAGATTTATAGTCTCGGTAATCCTATACTGGTTGCTCTGAGTTGGTACTGCCTTGACATCACTTATCAACAAGTCCCCCATTCCACAGGTGAGCCTCCTGCCTGGCACTCGGTTTGACTTGCTCTGGCTCTTGGTCCTGCTGTTGCTGCTCCTCTGCACCTCCTCTACCACGTGTCCCGTGTCACAGCTCTATGACCCTGGGTTAAGGAGGTACAATGTGCAGGGACATGGGGGTGCAAAGGATGTATTCCATTCCTGGTTCTTCTTCAATGGTAGTAAGATCCCTCTTCCTGCTTCTGAGAGTTCCAAGTTTTTACAATCACAATGAATTCTGTTAACAGTCACTCACAACTAATCATATCAGCATCGTCTCCCACCTTCTCTTACCCAGACCCATCCGGAAAAAACGTTGTTGGGTGGGAGTCACTAAGCCTAGGGGTTGAAGAGCCAGATGCAGTCACTGGCTGCAGTGCTCCGTGTCTGCTCAGGTTAAGTGTGTATCATGAAAACCCTGGGTTGTTGGCATCCCAGGTACAGCCCAGACAGGTTCTCCTCCCCTGGCCTCTGTTTCTGCTGCTAACTTTTTTTCCCTGTGATTTTCTTTCTTTCTTTTTTTTTTTAAAGACAGCTAATATATTCACCACCCACACCTATTAGTTTGTCACACTTTGGTAACTTGTGTGCTGAGTGAGGCTGGAAGTTCTGCCAGGGTCATTCATGGTGGGCAGTTTCAGAGGAGCTTCCAGACT